ATGGCCAACAGGCATATGAAAAAAGGTTCAACATCACTTGTAATCAGGGAAATGCAAATCAAAACTACCATGAGATACCATCTGACACCAGTGAGAATGGCACATATTAAAAAAACTAGCAACAACAAATGTTGGCAAAGTTGTGGAGAAAAAGGAACTCTCCTGCACTGCTGGTGGGAGTGCAAACTGGTCCAACCACTATGGAGAGCTGTGTGATTTCTTGACCTACTAAACATAAAGCTTCCATATGATCCAGCAATTCCACTCCTAGGTATTTACCCAAAGGACACAGAAACATCAATTCAAAAGGGCACCTGCACCCCTGTGTTTATAGCAGCACTATTTACAATAGCTAAGCTTTGGAAACAACCCAAATGCCCAAAAACAGATGACTGGAACCAGAAGATATGGTACATATACACCATGGAATATTACTCAGCATTCAAAAAAGATAAACACATGCAATTTGCAGCAACATGGATGGCGCTGGAAGGGATCATGCTTAGCGAAGTAAGTCAGAAAGAAAAAGAAAAATACCGGATGGTCTCACTCATAGCAGGAATCTAGAAAACTTAAATAAGGGACCAGGAAAAAGAATAACTATAAGAAAGAAAATATCAAAATCAACAAACAACTATGAACCAGAGACACTCTATGGGGGGTGGGGGGTGGGGAAAGGAGGGATTGGGGTCAAAATAAGGGGGTTGTAATTGTAAGGGGAATATAAAAATAAAATTTATATAATTAAAAAAAAAGAATATATAGCTATCCTGACCCACAGTGTTTGCTTCCCAGCGTCAGACTCCAGAAAGCTGACACTCATCAGTCCTCAACAATACCATCCACAGCCAGTCCATCCCCGGTTCAGTGGATACCAGGAACATCTGGAAGAATGAGAGCAGCTTAAACTGTATCAGAAGGAAGCCCAGGGATTTTTCAAGTGCCTGAATTTTTATTTAAGTATAGGCCTGGGCCTCCCTAGTGGCCTAGGGGTTAAGTCACAGTGCCTTCACCATGATGGCCCACCTTAACAGCCTGAGTTTAACCCTTGCCAGCAAGGTAATCCACATATGGCGCAGCAGACCTCTCCCGTCTTGTCCGCTGCTCCCCTTAGCAGTGTATTTCAGTAAATCTGCCTGATCAGCAAACTTCTCTGTCACTGATGAATCCTCTCACCCCCATCCCTGCACCTCTGGCCTACACCCCAGTTCTTCTATGCAAATATAAAATCTTAAAATAAATAAAATTTAAAAAAACAGTTCTTTAAAAATAAAAAAAAAGAATGGGCCTAACTCTAATCTAATTGAGGATAGTAACACCTTTGGGTGCAGAGGACTCTATACAACAATTTGATTTGGGAAATAAAATAATTGCCATGATTACACAAACTGTGAATGTAATTAATGCCACTGAGCTATATATATAAAATTAATCACATTATATACAACAAATTATTCAAATTATGGCTTTTTTAATTGAAAATTTGGGGTGTTTTCCTTTCGAACATAATGTTAACCTTTGGAGAATATTTGATTTCTCCCCTCAGGTGTAGTCTCTTTAGTTCTCCCACCACCATAGAACCATGATCCATCACCAGAGTCTCTTATGGTCTTCCCACCCCTAATTTGACCCCTATACCTCCCCTTCCCCTGCTATATGCCTCAGATCTTTGGTCAGATTGCAAGTTTTGTCTCTTTCCTATTCCTTTGGTTTCTCTCTTTTTCTGCCTGTAAGTAAAACTATCCAATATTTATCTTTTTCCTTCTGACTTATTTTGCTTAGCATAATCCCTTCCAGCTCCATCCATGTTACCACAAATGGCGTGAGTTTATCTCTTTGGTTCCCTTAGTAGTATTCCATTGTATATATATGCTAGTTCTTCTTGATCCAGTCATCTGTTTGGAGGCATTTATGTTGTTTCCATATCTTGGCTACTGTAGATAGTGATGCAATAAACATAGGCATACAGGTTTCCTTTTGAAATAATGCTTTTGTGTCCTTTGGGTAGATTCTTAGGAGTGGAATTGCTGGGCCATATGGTAGACCCATTTTTAGTGTTTTGAGAAAACTCCACACAGGTTTTAAAATGAAATTTTTGATGTTATGTATGTTTTAATACAACAAAAAAGTGTTGAAAGAACAAAAATTTAAATAACAGAATTTTTTTCAACTTTATCTCAAAGTTTCACTGTTTCTTTGCATCATCAAGTGGAATAGGCCCACAGAAATTGACTTTTTATCAACTATCCCATATCTCCAAACCTTCAGTCCAAGTGGCTTAAGAAAAAGGTGTTCTGAGGAAATAAAGAAGGAAGAGCCATGTTCCATGCTGCCAGAGGAAAGAGGATATGCACATGACAAGAAATGAGATCCCAAAGATACTATTACACAGAAATTCCACCCAGAAATTCTCAGAGATCTTGGAGAGAATAGGGGCTCCAAATAGCTTAGGGTAGCCAAGCATTCCTATAGACAGTTATTTGTCTGAAGAGTGAGTCTTTGACAAAACGTGCAAGCTGACCATAGATCTGAGGCATGCAGCAGGGGAAGGGGAGGGAGAGGAGTCCAAAAAGAGGAGGGAAGAGCACAAGGGACTGTGGTGATAGCTCATAGGCAATAGGGTGGTGGGAACTCACACCTGAGGGTAGAAATCAAATATTGTACAAAAATGAACACTCATGTAAGCATTAAATAAATAAATTTAATTATTGAGTCTTTTAAGAAGAGAGTGAAATCAGCTGGAAGTCTCTGATGCCTAACACCTGTCTATTGTTGCCAAAAATATAAGCCCTAGTCACTGGCCCATCAGCATATTTTACACATTCCACACATTCCAGATAATCCCCTCTTGATCCAGATCAATTCCCAGTGAGCTATGATACAGTTCAGAGCCTTTCTAAATAAACAGCATGAAAGCTTGTGATTTAGTATTCCCAGATGTATTAGTTGGAATAAGGTGCCCCTGAGGGTAACAGAGACCCAAAATAAGGATGACAGAGGAGAGAAAAGTTTCCTTCTCTTTTTCATTCATTAATTAGTCTAAAATTGGGAATTGCAGGTACTTCACATATCCACCGACTCCTGTCAGCCAACACTCTACCATCCCTCATATGGCTTCATCTTAATGAGAATTAGCAGCTCCCTTCCTTTGCCACAAACAGCCAACAGCTGAATCTTCAGCATTATAGCCTTGTTTTATGGAGCAAGAAGAAGGAAGGCTCATATGGTATTTCTACCTTTAAATTTTTGAGGAACCTCCTCACTGTTTCCACAGCAACTGCACTGTCTTGTGTTGTTACAGGAACTTTGTTGCGGCTTTGCGGTGGGAACGTGGTAAGGGACACAACAGTTGTGGAGCAGGTTTGCAAGGCGAGACTCTGCTACTTGGGCAGAAGTTCTTGCGCCATTTATTGAAAGCATACAGGCTAGTAAAAGCTGATCATGTGATAATGTATGAGGAATAAGGTCTGGAGGGTGGGATAGGAATGGGGACAAAGTTTTAAAAGGGACAGGGAAGGGGACATCGTGACCATACATCAAGAGACATTTGGGTCATCAAAGTATGATGTTATCACAGGCAGAGTTATACTGACACTGCCCTGGAGAATGTCACATAATCAGGTCAACAGTAGCCTACATCCCCAGGCCTTCCTTCTTGATAGGGGATTAGGTAGTCAAGGAATTTGCTGTGATTTGCAGATAGCAAATAGGTTACAGTTGGCCATGAGTTGCCAGCTCATAGGAACCCGCAATTTTGCATTCCCACCAATAGTGTACAATTTCTCCGTAGCCTTACCAGCTCTTGTCTTTTGTTTTCTTGATAATAACCAACCTAACAAGACATATTGCATGGTGGTTTTCATTTGCATTTCCATGGTAATATTGATGTTGAGCATATGTTCATATACTTTTGGCCACTTGTAGATCTTCTTTGGAGAAATGTCTATTCTAGTCTGAAGCTTATTTTTTAATTGGGTTATTAGTTTTTTCCCACTGAATTGTAATCCCACTTTCTGCATATTTATACCAAAGAATTGAAATCAGGAGCTCCAAAATATATTAGCACTCTCATGTTCTTTATAGCACTATGCACAATAGCGAAGATATGGACACACTCTAACTTTCCATTGACAGATGAATGGAAAAAGAAAATGTAGTATAAGTGTACAAAGGAATATTATTCAACCTTTAAAAAGAAGGAATCCTGCCATATGCAACAATATGCATCAATCTTAAGGACATTTTTCTAAGTGAAATATGCCAGGGACAGAAGGACAAATACTTACAGAAAGCATCTAAAATAGTTATACTCAACAGAAGCAACAAATGAAATGGTAGTTGCCAGGGACTTGGGATAGGGGGTAGTAGGAAGTAGCTAATCAATGTGTATAAAGTTACAATAAGGCAAGATGAATGAGTTCTAGAGAATTGCTGTACAACATTGTGCCTAAAGATAATAATACTGTAGCGTGCACTTGGAAATCTGTTAAGAAGTTAAATCTCATGTTAAGTGTCCTTGCCACAATAAAAATAAGAAAAACAAAAGAGGGATGAATGAAGAACAGAGGGCATATGCCAAATGTTTTTTAATGAAGCCCCCATACCACACAAAAGCAGTCTTCAAACAGTAAAAGTACCATGAAGTTTAACAAGAAAATATCACCATCCTCAGGTTATAAGGTAGAAGACTCCAGACACTGGGCACAGCATGTGCAAAGGCCCTGGGATAATTTAAAGGAACAATACCTATGTCATTTCTCCAACTTTATTCTTCATGTTTTCTTTTTTTATTATTAATTTTATATATTTTTATATCATTTTTCATTTTTGCACAATATATGCATTTTCATCTTGGTTATAGTCCCCAGACAATTCACACACACCCCTTGTTTTGATTTTACTCTCTCCTCCCTCCCCTGTAGTGTGTCTCTGGTTTATTGTTGCTTGTTGATTTTGATTTTTACTTTATTAAAATTAGTCTTTTTCCTGGTCTTATTTAGGTCTTCTAGATTCCTGCTATGAGTGAGACCATCCGGCATTTTTCTTTTTCTTTCTGGCTTATTTCGTTGAGGATGATCCCTTCCAGCTCCATCCATGTTGCTTCAAATTGTGTGAGTTTTTCTTTTTTGATTGCTGAGTAGTATTCCATTATGTATGAAATGCAAATAACCAACAGGTATATGAAAAAATGTTCAACATCACTTGTAATCAGGGAAATGCAAATCAAAACTACAAGATGGTAATCTTACACCAGTGAGAATGGCACATGTTAAAAAAAACTAGCAGCAACAAATGTTGGCAAGGATGTGGGAAAAAAGGAACTCTCCTGCACTGCTGGTGGGAGTGCAGACTGGTCCAATCACTATGGAAAGCTGTGAGGCAATTCCTCAACCTGCTAAAGATGGAGCTTCCATATGATCCAGCAATTCCACTCTTAGGTATTTACCCAAAGGCAGCAATTCCACTCCTAGGTATTTACCCAAAGGACACAGAAACATTAATTCAAAAGGGCACCTACACTCCTATGTTTACAGCAGCACTATTTACAATAGCTAAGCTTTGGAAACAACCGAAATGCCCCAAAATAGATGACTGGATCAAGAAGATGTGGTACATATATTCTTCATGTTTTCATGATCTGGCATTCTGTTAAGTTTACAATAAAATCTTGGTTTCCAATGTGTGTAAATTCCTGATTTTATTAAGAGAAATACCACATGGGCTGGGTAAATAAAACCAGATTTAGTGCTCCAGGGTGGTAATATTTTTCAATTAACTTTTCCAAACCCCATTACTTTTCTAGCACTTATTAAATTTATAACAAACCCATTTTAAAATTCCTCATGCCTATTCTCCTCAATCCCTTGTGTTTTCTGAATATTTCCAGTTCTATCCTCTCATACATTCCTTTCATGTGAGGATATTGTGAGTGTCAGTGGAGAAGAATGCCCGTCTCCCCATGCTGTTTTGTAAGCATCTTCATGCCTTCTGCCAAAGTTGTAGAGGAGTCCCCCTGTGCCAGATCCCATGCGGACACTTGAGTGGCAGGTTTCACCCATTCCACTGGGCTCCTCCTTCTTTCAGGGGACTCTGACTTTAATCATTCATCCTCTCCCAGGATCTGACTTTCTGTTCAGCCCTTTCCCAGAGATCAAATGGAATGACATCTGGATGATAATAGTCTTCCGCTATGGTCATCCTCTAGCCTTCCTGCTTCCTAATACCACCACCCACCCTGGTTTCAAATCAGGTCTAGCTCATCTATACCCATCCCATAGAACTAAATGCATTGCCAAATCCCTTTCTGACCAGGGGTCTCTGAAGTATGTTAATGAAGTGAGTGTACCTACCCTTACTTCTGTGTTTTCCTTACACACCTCCTCTGCAGGTATCCACCATGTAAAACCTGTTCTCATCCTTCATCTCCAGACCCTGTTGCTGAGAGTCCAGAGTTATCAGGAGAATAACCACATATCAGTAAGGTCCCAGCAGCAAATGGAGGGTACACTTACATTAGGATAATTGACTTAACAGATAACTTAATAGAGGGACTATTAGAGACATAGATAATAGTGGATAATTTAATAGAGGAACATACTAAGGTAATTGATTTAACAGATAATTTAATAGAGGGACTATTTATGGAGATGTGGGAAGACTGTAGAGGTATAGGAAATCAGGAAGATTTCTACAATATGCAAAACTAGCTACATCAGGGTGGGCCTGAGGGGACAAGGAGAAAGCACAGCTGTGTTGACGACATGGCAAGCTTCCAATAAAGTCAGATTCCAGGTTAGCTTACTTGTCCTACATTACTTGGCCAACTCCTTGGGTCCTGCTAGGCCTTCTTCCTCAAACCCTATGCTATACCTCCAGGCCCCTCATTAAACCCCTATACAGCATAGGGTCTTAGGGTCTCTAATCTGACCTGCAGGTCTTCCTATGAACCTGAAGACTATAGGGGCCTGACCAAGTCCACTTGCCCTTCTAGCTTCTTCTTCCTCTGTTGAGGATCTGGAAACAAAGCTAGGTGTCATTACCTTGGCCCTCTGACTTTCCTGGCCTTTTTGTTAGCTGGTTACTGGTACCCTGTCAGGCTGAACATTGAAGTCATGACCATTTCTTACGGCAACCTTATGTGACCACATTATTTGACCCAGCTTTGGCAGCTGTGTCCAATCTGTTTCCCAGGGTTACATACCAAGAGGGGGAAGGATTCCTTTCACCATTCCATCCATGTCTTCCATGGGTCACTACCGAGAAAGCAAGGCAAGGTGGCCCTATATTCCCACAGAAATTTCAATGAAAGTTTTCTGTTTTTATTCATTTTCCATTATATCTGAAAGCCAGGGCAACAAACAACATTCACTGGCTGGACCCTTTCTAGCTCCTTTTGAGAATAGACAGTTGCCTGGCCCCCTCTCCACAACTGCTTCAGACACAGCCAGATGCATCTGAATCTGGCAGTCCTGGATATCAGGACACCAGGTTGTCCCACCAGGACCATGGCTCTGCAGTAGTCTGATGAGGGACAGCTCTGTCCAAGGACGCACTCCTTAGACTTTCTGAATACTCTGTCCAGCTGTCTGCAACTGAATCTGTGCAGCTCAATTTGTTAAATGCCTTCTATCTAGTGGGTGAGATCTCAGGGAATTACATGTCTTTCTTACACCCCCTTAGGAATGAAAACTGTGTTTTGAAATAGGAAAAAATGTGAATGTAAAATATGTTTACCAAGATTGTAGATGTAATATAATAAAAGCTATGACAGAACATTGTTAGCAAAGTAGGACACAGAGCAGACTTGCAACTATGTGACACATAAGACAAATGAAATAAAATTAAAACCTGAGCATAGGGGAAAAAAAGTGACAGGAAAATTAAAAAAATAATAATAAAACACTCCAGTTTCTGGGGAAAAAAAATCTGCCAGCCTAGGGGGCCTGCCTTGATTCTCCAGCAGGCCACCCCCAGCACCGTTTCTACCCCAGGCCTGCATGTGTGCTTTGTCCAGAAAAGGCCCTGTGACTAGGTATTGATTTTATTCAAAGTAAGGAAAAGCTATATGTAAAATCCAGAGTTTGGGGGTAACCTGGTATAGGAGATGTGAAAAGAAGAGAGACTATGAACTCTGACTAGTTGGAATAGAAAAAGGGACCCAAAAACTTAGCAGCAACAAGACGGGACGAAACCAAAATTCCCTAAGAAATGGAGGGGAAGACATACTCAATTCAAAACTGTTCCCTACTGTATACTGTGCTGTGATACTCCACCCAAGACCCCCACACCTTCAGTAAAAAACACTCATAGTGACATTTTCTCAATATTGATATTAAGCAGGGAAAGAGAAGAGGTCTCAGCAAACTACAATATTGGTTGATACAAGAGTTCATGTAGGACAAGCCCTCTTGAACTAGCCATGAGGGGCTAGGATGGAAGTCTTTACCAAACAAACAAATAAAATCTAGAGCTCGTTAATTCAACACATCAAAGTTACTGTTTCTTGCTTATATCACAAAACGGTGTATGTGACTCTGTCTAGGAGTCTTTCACTATTTGATTTGCACAAGTGTCCAGAAGAAAATTTACACCTTTAAATCAGTATATTCAAAAATCAAGAAATACTGAAAAGCAATGATCTAAGTTTTCAACTCAAAAGTTAGAAAAAGGATAAATAGCATATTAAAACCCACAAAAGTAGAAGGGAGGAAGCCATTGAAATAGAAAAAAAGACATACAATGGAGAATGTCCACAAGGTCAAAAGTGCATTCTTTGAATAGGCTGGAATAATTAATAATCCCTTAGCAAGACAAATCTAGGACAAAAAAAGATAGAGATAGAAAACAATTACCTAAGTCAGGTATAAAAAGCAGAATGTCACTACAGAGCTTTCCAAACATTCAAAGTATATTGAGAAGATATGAAATTTTTCCAAGTTATCTTCTTTTTTTATTAAAATGTTGTGAAAGGAATAATGTGCCAATTTTTTCCTCATGTTTTCAGTTTCTGTTACCAATGCTTTGTGTTAATTTGATTTTTTAATGAGGTCAAATTGGTTTAAATCATTGCATATATTTTAGGAGTACAGGATGATGCTTCTTCAAATGAGATGTGTCACCACACCTCATCCATCACCAAAGTATTAATAACTCTCCACTGCAGTCCACTGGACCCTTTCTACCCTTTGCTCCCACCCCCTCTCCCCCTCCAGTAACCTCAGTTCTGTTTTCAGAATCTGTTGTTTTATTTTATCTGTGTGCTTTGTTTGTTTTTATTCTACATATAATCAAAAAGCCTATATCTGTCAGTGTTTGTATTTCTCTTCCGCATTATTTCACTTAGTATAATTCCCTTCAGTTCTATCCATATTGTCACAAATGGCAAGATTATGTTCTTTTTTGTTTTTTTTTTTTTTAAGATTTATTTATTTATGCATACAAGAGCTGGGGTACAGGCCAGAGGTGTGGGGGGCGGGGATGATTCACCAGAGACAGAGTGAGGAACAGAACAGGCAGATCTACTGGAATACACTGCTGAGGGGAGCAAGGGGCAAGGCAGGAGAGGTCTGCTGTGCCATGTGTGTTGCTCCCTGGCCGGCTGGGGATCGAACTCTTGCTGCAGAGGCTACAAATAGCTTCACAGTGCTGTGCTTAACCCCTTGTACCACCAGGGAGGCCCGCAAGACTATTGTTGTTAAGTTTGTTAAGACTTTATTGAGAATTTTTGCATCTATGTTCATCAGAGATACTGGCCTGTAGTTTTCTCTTTTGTATCATGTTCTTGTCTGTTTTTATTATTAGGGTAATATTGGCCCCACAAAATGTGTTAAAAGCATTCCCTCTTCTTTAATTTTTTTTTTTTTTTTGGAGAGTTTGAGAAAGATAAGTGTTAGGACTTCTTTGAAGGTCTGATAAAACTCACTAATGGGACTATCTGGTCTTGGGCTTTTGCTTATTGGGAGGCTTTTGATTACTAGCTTAATTCAAAATTAAAACCAGTCCTTGCTTGTGATTAATCCGGTCAGGTTTTATTATTTTTTTTCTGATTTGGGAAAGTTGACTGATTCTAAGAATTTGTCCATTTCTTCTAGGTAATTCAATTTATTAGCCT